TCTCTCTCTCTCTCTCTCTCTCCTCTCCCCTCTCTCTCTCTCCTCTCTCTCTCTCTCTCTCTCTCTCTCTCTCCTCTCTCTCTCTCCTCTCCTCTCCTCTCTCTCTCTCTCTCTCTCTCTCTCTCTCTCTCTCTCTCTCTCTCTTCTCTCTCTCTCTCTCTCTCTCTCTCTCTCTTTATCTCTTTCTACCACCTCTATCTCTTTCTCCGGGTATCGCACTCTCTGCTAGGCTTTCTTTAGTCTATAACTATATCACTTTTCAGTCTATATACCTATTCACTATACCACCACACAACTCCACCCACGTACCTCGCATCCTCGGATTTCGTTTGAAGGGCGATGACTTTAGATTCATCGTAGCGAAGCTGTCCGTCGCTAGCGGAGAACAGACCGTACATAAGTCCAGGAGTATCGATGAACTCCGACCAGGCTATCACAGTGATCGGTGGTATGGAGGCTGTCATTACTCACGCGCGATGTGACGAGCGTGTGAGCGCGTGTATGGGTGTGTGTGTTTGTGGGTGTGGGTGCGCGCGTGCGTGTGTGGGTGCGTGTATGGCTGTGTGAGTGCGTGCGTGGGCGTGTGGGTGTGTGTGTGTGTGTGGGTGTAGATGTGGTGCGTGCGCGCGGCTGTATCCGTGAGCATCGCTGGGCAACCCGTCGCTGTGTAGCCGAGGCTACGTACGTGTAAGTGAACCTTGCGCGAGTCGCGACTTTGCACGTTTATTGCCAACAAGAGAGTACACACACGGGGTGTTGCTCGCGCGATACGCCGCAGCTTATGATAACCTTCCCAAGTACACGCGCATGTACACCCATGCGCCGAGCGCGCGTATATCTCCTACTCTATACGTCACTATAGGTAAACTATAGAGTGTCTCCAAGCCACTCGCTGTGCCGTAGAAGTTAATTAGCAGGGCCGTGGAAGCGAGATAGTCTGAAAGTACTGTTTGAGTGAGTGGGCGATTATTTATAGTCTACGGCATATAAGAGCGAAATCACACGGGGCGAGCAGAGAGAACATCTCATCAGTGCTATTAGCGAAACGATATGTAATTAACGACAGAAAATTATAATCAATCAGTGCTAAACATGATGCTTTGGTATGGTAATGATTTTGTTATATTATGTTCGAAAGGTGTTAAGAATGGTGTTATATGTAGAGTCTTGCTAAACATTTGCCAAAAAATTGCATTATTTTTTTATTAATAACATAAGGACATTGGCATGATTTTGGATCACCACGTGTGAAGAATGATTGTAGAATTCATTGAAATGATAAAAGTAGGTTATTGTCACGAAAGTAGATATAGCATTGCAAAGTTATCTAACAGATTGTACCTTAACATTTGCGCTGATAATTTATTAGAGCATAGTTAATTAACGCCATTTGCTTTGCATTGGCACCGTTCACTTGTAGACTAATTATGTCAAACGCATATTATGTTATGTAGGACACATACGCCACCTAGTGACGGCTTTAAATTTTATTTGTGTTAGCTAGGTCAATCAGGCCCACCCGCATTACAATTTTAACATATTTTATTTCATTTCAGACACACATGGTGTGCGCGAACCGAGATCTTTCGCGATATCGCAAGGAAATTTTGCATTCGACTCTGCTCTCTTACGACAGATGGCTAATAACGTTGCTACCCCTGTTGTGGCGATGGAGACCCGACGTTAAACCGTGGTCAATATAAGCAGGAGTAGATAATAGGTATCATATTACTCTGGCGTGCTGTCCGTACCAGGGTACGTGTCACTATCAGGTGGTGGTGGGGAGAAGCTTACTGTCAACACGTACTGCGAGGTTCTATTTCTAACACGCAGCAGTACAATCAAACAAAAAACCTTATTTGAAAAACCTTTTTTTCTGATGATATGATATCATCGTGATTATTAGAAATATTAATTACAGAACGTGAATGAGGGAATAAGTATTGTGAACATTATAAATTCGGGCCAGTATCGCCTCAGCAGAATCTAAATTAGACATAGAACCTAGTGCAAAGGAAACTCAATCGATTTTTTGAAGGAGTGGGTTTTTCTCATTGGAGCTCGATCACATATCTTCGATGACACGTTGCGAAGAATTAGACGGGCTCTCGTTCGTTTTTACGCAGGAAGAGAACATGGCAAACAATTCGCAGCACCGTCTCCTGTAGCAGGTTGCGCTCTCATAGGTAGAAATCCGGTGACAGGGGCGGGACTGTTTTTTTGGGGGGGGGGCGCTTCCATCGCATACTGCGACGATTTGCCACACCAGCTTTCCTGTCAGTATGGGCATGTTGCTCCACGCGCACTTCGACCGTTTTAATAATAAAATGATGGTAGATATGCACAAATTGTATATTACTCGTCTCGTCTTATAATAACTGGGCATTCTCTATCGCCTAGTAATTCCACGTAAAAGGCGTTCAGATGGTCCTCTGTAACACACAACCACATCGGACGCATTCGTGCACAAACTCACAGAAAGAAAGAAACTCTCAGAGAAAGGATAAAAAGTACACAAACAGACGTTGATAGTAGGCCTAAATACGATTGGTGTTTATTTACTATCATTTTATAACTGCAACGGCCCAGGTGCCTGCGTGTTGATCGATCGCCCTCCCGCATGCGTTGTTGCCGCAGCGGCAGGTAAAAGGTAAACACGTACGGCACACTCGGCACTCGGGAGCCGATTACCACCTGTTGCGGTTCGCGGTTAGTCTGACACCGCGTCGTGTTCTGACAAGCGTTTCCCGCTGCACACCGGTAGGCGAGCGGGCCCATCTACGCGCATCGCTATCGCGGTCAATCGGCCGTGCTGCGGGGGAGTCGTTAGCGCGTGGCACGACAACCGACGGTGAGTCGGCCCGCAGCCTGACACTCTCCACCGAGCAGGCGACACGACAGCGCGACAATACCAGCCGCTCTGTCTCTCTATCGCTCTCCCGCGCGCACGCTAGCAGGCGCCCGCACTCGCGCGAGCAGACGCGATTATGCCGAGTTCCGCCGATTTTCGACGTAATAACAAGGCGCTGATGTCCGATTTATGAGAGGGCGGCTAAAACGTCGGTCGGATACGGGCACGTGAGTGCGCGCAGCACCGCCTATCGCCGACGATCGAGATGTGAAGTAGAGAAGGGTCGAGCGAATTTGTTTTCGTGTTTGACAACCGCGTGCCGTGTGACGCACACGCGCACGTACACGGCGGAGACTGAAATAGCGAAAGAAAACGAACGAAACAGAGGCGCTGACCGAGAGACGGACAGAGAAAGTGAGACATCGATACAGAAACAGAGGGACGGAAAGAGAGAGAGAGAGAGTGAGAGTGAGAGCGAGAAAGAGAGATAAAGAGAGAGAGGGTATTTCGTTTGCGAAGAAAGATTTTCAAGAGCAGTAGGCCTATATCGATCGCCGTGATGCGAACGTGAGAAAACTTGTGCGTGTGCGAAAAGAGAAGACGTTCATACGTGTCTTACAGACTTCCTACTAACGATGCGTTGGACAGATGAACTTGTGCTAATCCTCTTCACCTGGATAGCGGTCTACGCTCTTTTCTCGGCGACGGTAAGCGTAGACATTTAACACCTGTCTATCGTATCGTATCCTATCGTTTCACAGAGAAGAACTGGAGAGAACACAGGACGCAGAAGACGAAATTGACGGCATGAGTGTATTTGCTACATGTGACTGTTTATGGGCGCATCTTCGCTACCCAACGAAGAGCATGCTTGCCGCTACACGACCGATATACGCATTGATCTATTATTCTAAGTAATTTTATAATTTTAAAATAACATTGTAATTCTAAGTGGGTTAATCGTTTTTTCTTCAGATCGCCGAGAGTCGCGGGATAGCGTCGGCCGCACGCGCCGACCGACGCCTAGCGATTGCCGACACGACGCACCGACTGCGTCACCAGCACGGCTCGCGTCAGAACTGCACGCGGTGCGGGCCGGGTTACGGCGTGACGCGACCGTGCGGTCGCCATGGCGACACGGTGTGCGCGCGCTGCCTGCCGGGAACGTTTTCGCCGCACCACAGCGCGCACAACGCATGCGCCGTTTGCTCGCGCTGTGGCGACGGCCTGTATGAGCTGCGGCCGTGCGCCGTCGGCCACGACGTCGTCTGCGACGCGTGCGTCAACGCCGCCGCGGCGACGCAGCGGCGGCGCGTCACGGCCGCCATGTTGTTGAAGCATGCCGACTTCTTCATACGATGCAAGGAGAACGGGGCGACGCCAAGACGATGACGACCGAAGAACCTGACGCATGAGCTGACGATGGTGGCGATGATGACGGTTGCGGGACGACGACGATGACGCTGACGATGGTGGCGATGATGACGGTTGCGGGGGGACGACGGTGACGCTGACGATGGTGGCGATGATGATGGTTGCGGGGGGACGACGGTGACGGTGACGATGGTGGCGATGATGATGGTTGCGGGGGGACGACGACGACAGT